ATATATATATATGTGTGTGTTTTATTAGTTATAAGTAATTTTATATTTAATATATATATATATATATATATATGAATTTATATGTATATATATTAATTTAAATAAATTATATAATTTATTTTTGTTTAAAATGATGATATGTCATAATTTTGATGATGTGTACATAATTTGGAAGCCAAGTCATTGCCACATCATCATTTTTATTTGAGTTGGCAGACGCGGGGGGTTTTCGGTGAATTATTAACAAGTTTGGGATTTTATTGGTTAATCATACCAAGTATAAGGTTTAATTGGTAAGCAAAAAAGTACAGGGTTTTTTCGTTGACCTGGGAAGAGTACAGGGTTTTTATGGCGATTTCCCCTTATTTTTATAAAGTTTAAAAATCGAATAAAAGAAAAATAATAGAAAATCAAAAATTCTAAACAAATATTGTTTTATCAATAGAAAACTGAAATCAATACGAAATAAAATGGAACTAAAATAATAAGTTTTTTTAATTAAAATAAGGGAATCTAAATATACCCTAAACCCCCAAATGACCACGTTGGTTATGGGATAAGAATATATGTATGAATGTTATTTTATGATTAAATGATGAAACATTAATGCTTTGTCTTGTCTTGGTCAAAGAGAAGAAACACAATTAGGAGGCAGCTTCAACTTGAACGGTGATGGGGCTCCTGACGTAATGATGGCCATCGGTCCAGGTCAGGCTTCCAAAGACGTAGCCAGAAGAACGCCAATTGGGCTTGGGGCTCAGAGTCATCTGAAACACCTTCTCCTCCCCAAGCTCGCCGAACTCAAGCTGTGTGGGCTTCACAGACACGGAGACTCCGACAGGAGCGCGCACACGAGCCATGTACTTGCCGGCTCCTCCCACGTTCTTGAGCCTGCGGGTAACAGTCACAGAGCCGGTGAGGCTCGCGACGGTGATGGACGGGTAGTTGAAGTCGAGCAGGTTGGCTCCCTCACGGCACTTGTAGGGTTGCTCGGCAAATTTTCGGATCATGGTTTCGGTGTAGCCAACGGCGCAGAGGAAGTTCAAGTAATCGCCAGTGGAGAGATCGTAGACAAGTCCAGGGTCTCCGGCTCTGTTCGGTCGGACATGTCCCGATCCGTACGCGAACGGAGTCGCCTTCTCGAACGTACCGTCCAGAATGGGCGCCATCCTGTTATCTCTACTTCTAGCGGTAGTCATGATGGCGGATCTGATGGCGGCAGGGCTCCAGTCAGGGTGAAGGGTCTTGAGAAGGCCGACAACGCCGGAGATGTGGGGACATGACATGGAAGTTCCGGACTCGGTGTTGAAAGGAGTTTTGCGTTTGTCCGAATCCAAATCCGTCGGGCTGGTGGCTTCGGTGAAGGCGGCTATGATATTAACTCCGGGGGCTGTTATGTCGGGCTTGAGGATGTCTGGTGTTATAGTGTTTGGCCCTCTCGACGAGAAAGATGCCATGAACGGTGCTGGCTTCGTGTTCAGCTTACTGTTCGGTGGGCGGAGGTATCCCTTCGGATTCCTGCATTTTTTATCCAATTACAAACCCTTATCATCATCCCACTGTAAGCATAGAAGTAGACTGGCAAGTTGGCAACTACAGCTATATATATATATATATATGTGTATATGTTATTACCTGGTGGAATTGAGGTAGGAGAAGACCTTGAGACCGTCCTGGTAGTTGATGTGAGAAGTGGGAAGAACATGAGCGTCTGAGATGATCTCGTTGCCGCTCGCCTCTTCGTTGCAGAGTATCATTCCGGCGGCACCAGCGGCTGCAGCTTGTGCGCCCTTCTCCACACGAGCATTTTCTCCCCTTAGACACACTATGATCTTCCCCTTCACCATCTTCGGGTCAAGGCTCCCTTTCATGCACACCATTCTGGTCAAAATCAAATGTACCATATGAAATTCACAGTTTTAAAGATATATATAATGTGTCTGAGGTTAACAAACAAATATATATCTATAACGCATCCCGGTCATCCACTTACGCGTCAGTTGCTGATGCATTGGCAGCTTTGGCCTCGGCGCCACTGATCAGCGTGTACATCTTTTCTTCGGACAGAGGGTCTGACAGACTTGTTCCCTGCCGGATGACTTACAGAGTTCAGGTGACTTGTTCAACACGTAACAAAAGAAAAGACTGAAAAAAAACCAGGAAACAGAACCTTGAAACGTTGACCGTTCTCGAGTTCGACGAAAGCTTGAAACTCTCGGTCGATGGAGCTAGCTCCGACAGTAAGAATCCATGGCGCGACATTCGAGACAGAACCATTTTGAGGGCCTGAGTTCCCAGCCGAACACACGACCGTAATGCCGGCTTTGACCGCATGGAAAGATCCAATGGCCATTCCTTCGTTGAGGTACTCATCTGGGTCTCCACCGACGGAGACGGACAGAACGTCGACGCCGTCATCAATGGCGGCGTCGAATGCGGCCAGAATATCGGCGTCGAAGCATCCTCCGCCGTCGAGCACCTGTGGCCAGCAGACCTTGTACGCGGCCACTCTGGCTTTAGGAGAGCCGCCACTGGCCGTGCCGTTCCCATTTCCGAATACATTAGCGCCCTGAACAAAGTTTCAGCCTGCGGTCGAGAGGGTGTGGCTGCCATGGCCGTTGTTGTCCCGAGCCGTTTCGAACGTGGCGTTTGAGGGCACGCCTGTACCGCTGAAGTACCCTTTGTTGAAGTATTTAGCCCCAATGAGCTTCCTGTTCAGCATACCATAATATGAAATATACGTCATTTTTATGTAGGAAAAATGATTTTTTTATATATATATATATATATATAAGAAGATACTACAGAACAGATCAGACCTGTTGCAAGGAACGCCTTCTTTAGTATCATTCTGGCATTTGCCTTTCCACTTAGCCGGAGGCGGTCCATACCCTTCATCGCTGAAACTTTTTGACTCGGGCCAAACACCTAAAGAATAATCCTTATTCACACCATAAACAATATATATATTTTTGTGTGTGATTGGATTATCATTTCTCAATCATCATCATCATCATCATCATTATCATCTTCTTTTGTTAGTTATGCTCTTTTTCCGGTTGTGCGAATGATTGTATTTCAAAGGCCCTTACCGGTGTCAATGTTCCCGATGATTGTGTCCTGTCCGTATTGAGCTTTCGACCACAGGGACGAATGGCGAACCACGCCGTCTTTGCGGAGAAGCATGAAATCCCATGAACGAGTCGTGTGCAGCTTTCTTCCTTTGTTTAAGAACACTGACAGCACATCAGGATGTTCTGCAGTAAAAAAAGAGAATTGTGTCAGCAGAAGGGGTGAAGAAGGAGAAAACGGCGATAAATGATCTTACTGGCGATCTCGGCAGCTTCTTCTTCCTCGAGATTGGCGGCGAAGCCATTGATGTGCCTCTGGTACGAGTAAAAGATGGAGTCTTTCGCCCTTTCCTGACTGTGTCAGCAACAAAAAAACGGACAGAATTCAGAGCCCTCTGTTTTCAGACATCATTTTTATCATAAACCTTCTGAAGAAAAATGTACGAAGGGAGGGAAAAAGAAAACAAAAACCTGCCCACGAAAGACGAGAGAAAATTGTGATGAGAAAGAGTCACACGATCAAGATCAGCGGTAGAGACCGAAGGTCCATGCGAGTGAGATCCCAAGTACACTACATAGGACTGTTCACAGTAGCAAAACAAAAGCCGAAACCATAGGAAGGTTAGTGCATTGCAGAGTTAACAGACAGAGAGAGAGAGAGAGAGAGGGGGGGGGGACCTTTTTGAGAGAGAAAGCAGGAGAGGAGAGGAGAGAGAAAAGGAGAAGGGTCAAAAGGCGGAGAGAGTGCTTTTGGGGGCACGCCATCATCACCCACGAGCGAGCAGAAGAAGAGCAAGAAAATGAATGGGTTATGGGAGCGATGCTCTGTTCTATCTGCAAAACCCCTTCATTCTCTCTTCTTCTCCGTCTGCTCTCCCTCTATATAGGAGGAAGTGGATCCCGGAGAAAATAGAAAGGGATTGAGACACGATAATCATTCTCTGTCCTCGAATCTTCACACAATCTCTCTAGTTTTGGTAGAAAATCTCTCATAATCTCAACTTACTGCAGACAGTTTGCCGGTAGATGTTTTGTTTAGGAAACCTATTTTCTCCCTTTTTTTTAAATTCTAAATTGCTGTGATTGGTGGCTAAATTTGAAAGATTTTCAACATTTATGGGTCAATCCGGACAGGGCAGGTCAAATGAAAATGTCCCCATGCACGCACCCATGTGACAGTTGACAAAGCATTGGGCCTTTTTATGGGCTATTGCCCGTTATTTAGGCAAGTCCAGTCTGTATACGTACACGGAAAGTGTATTACAGAAAAATTCGGGTAGCATGTTCAACGTACCCGTGGCTTGGCTCGGGTCGGTTCAATACTATAGTTACTTGCTTGAGAGATATATAGCCATTTTTATATGAAAATAAATTTGGGTGTTTATGTAAATACCTAAAGTATAATTGGCAATTTAGTCATTTTCAAAATATGCGATATCCGCGGCATAATCTGCTAAAAAAAAGTAATAGAATTCGAACTCGATCACGGCTTTCATATTTCTCCTCTCGTCGAATCCCGTGGGATAGGACAGCGGGAGATCGAGTGAAAATTCCCGCCGCGCTGATGATATTGTGAAATGGGTATGAAGGAGAGCGTGCTGCGTTTCTCCGGCAATGGCGGCCGGCGGTGGATAAGTCCTTTGAAAATGTTATAAATGCCTTGGCCTCCGTCACCATCCCTTCTTTCGGACCCTCCGCCGGCACCCCATCTGACGTCATCCTCCGTCAGATCCTGGGAGAAGAAACAAAAATTTGGGGCATCACTATGTTATCGTTGTCTTTTTGAAAGATGAAGAGCCGATGATGGAAGGAGATATTATCTTTGCAAAAGAGAAAGGATAGAGATAGAAAAGGAGTTGTCTTTAGCAGTCTTTCCGACATGTAAAGGGAAGAAGTCTTTGCCTCCTTTTTTTTTAGGATTTTTTTTACAAATGTTGGATATAAACCCTGTTACAATAAAAAAAAAAACTATGCATTGATCTCTGATCTTGTCAAATTGATTCCCATGAGTGGCGGCGACCATGAAAAACCTTACGTTTGTTTCCATGGTCGAACGTAGCCCTAATTTTTTACTGGCAGACCCCCCCCCCAAAAAAAAATCAGACCATGATTGATGTGTGTCCGCGTTCCGACAAGACAATGGTTAATTTCTCGGATGCTTATTCTATTCATCATCCTATCATCAACAAACGAATTGGAAAAAAAAAGAAGAAATACATTATAAGTGAATCTCTGCAGTGTCGCTCCGTGATTTGAAACCATATTTATATCTATCTGTAGAAGAAGCCCACTTTATAAAGAAGTCGCCCCGCTTTTACTTCACGCTTCTTAACAGGAAGAGCTCTCTGTTGGGAGTTAACACAGTGAGATAAAGAAAGAAAGATCGAACCTTTCATTCACATTTGCTCCGATATTTTGCCCCCCCTTGAGTCCGATGAAAAAATGGTGTCTGGGAGAAGATCACTCCGAGCAATTCTCTTTATCCTCGCCGTTATTTATCGGGTAGAGGTGGGGCAGTCGGCGATCGGAGTGAACTGGGGAACGGTGTCGTTTCACAGGCTGAAGCCATCGACGGTGGTGGATCTCCTGAGGGACAACAAGATAACGAAGGTGAAGCTGTTCGATGCGGACCCAGGTGCGCTTGGAGCTCTCATGGGGAGTGGGATCCAAGTGATGGTCGGCATTCCCAACGAGATGCTCTCCTCTCTCAGCTCTTCTCCCCTCGCCTCTGATTTGTGGGTTCGTCAGAATCTCTCTCGCTTCATCGGTAAATCCGGCGCCGATATCAGGTCTCTCTCTCTCTCTCTCTCTCTCTCTCTCTCTCTCTCTCTCTCTGTTTTTTTCTGGGTTGCTGTCCTTGTCTGTCTTAATCTGTGTAATCAGGGAGAAAGAAAGTGAAAACCTTTACTCATCTTGATGATATACTTGTCGGTACCTGACCTTGCATATCTGTGAAACGGCTTAACTCAAACTCTTAAAGCAGATCTCATAATACCAGTTTGTGCAATTTGGATGACTGTTGATTCTCGCTTGGACGTGTTGCTTTCTTATGTACAGATTGAAAAATGACAAGCTTGAACTCGTTATCCGCTAACTTTGTTACTTATACACACTTTCCTGTCAACATGTACCAGATATATTCCTGCTTCTGCCAAGCAAATGAGCTACCATTTGTTCATTTTCCGTTTTAATTCTCTCTTATGACAATGACAGGTATGTTGCAGTAGGGAATGAGCCCTTTCTGACCAGTTACAGTGGCCAGTTTCAGAACTATGTTGTCCCTGCTCTGCTTAATCTGCAGCAGTCCTTGGTTAAGGCAAATCTAGCTGGTTATGTGAAGTTGGTAGTCCCTTGCAACGCAGACGCATACGAGTCTAATCTTCCTTCCCAGGGTGTTTTCCGGACCGAGCTCACCCAGATCATGACCCAACTGGTTTCATTTCTCAACTCCAATGGCTCCCCATTCGTCGTCAATATCTACCCTTTCCTTAGTCTGTATGGAAATTCCGATTTCCCACAAGACTATGCCTTCTTTGAAGGAAGTACTCATCCAGTTGTAGACGGGCCTAATGTCTACTATAATGCATTTGATGGAAACTTTGATACCCTCGTTGCTGCTCTCAGCAAGCTTGGATACGGTCAAATGCCTATAGTTGTCGGTGAGATTGGTTGGCCTACTGATGGAGCAGTCGGTGCTAATCTCACTGCAGCTCGGGTCTTCAACCAAGGGCTCGTAAATCGTATACTGAGCAACAAAGGAACGCCTCTCAGGCCAGGCATGCCACCGATGGATGTATATCTGTTCAGTTTGCTTGATGAAGGAGCGAAAAGCACATTGCCCGGTAACTTTGAGAGGCACTGGGGGATATTCTCTTTCGATGGGCAGGCTAAGTATCGTCTCAGCTTAGGGTTAGGCAACAAAGAACTCAAGAACGCGAAGAATGTGCAGTACCTTCCTTCCAGGTGGTGTGTGGCGAACCCGTCAAGGGACCTGAACGAAGTTTCCAACCACTTCAGACTTGCCTGCAGTGTCGCGGATTGCACCACGCTGAACTACGGAGGGTCGTGCAACGAGATTGGCGAGAAGGGCAATATCTCGTACGCATTCAACAGCTACTACCAGCTGCAGATGCAAAATGAGAAAAGCTGCGACTTTGATGGGCTTGGCATGGTCACTTTCCTAGATCCTTCCGTCGGTGAATGCAGGTTTCTGGTCGGGGTTACTGACAAAGGCTCATCATCTTCTTTGGGTGCTGACCCAATGCAGAGGTTGTCTCTTTGCCAGAAGATATTCAGTGTATTGGTGGTGTTGGCCTTCACAATGTAAAGGAATTCTTCTTAGATGGGCTTTTTTCCAGTGTCCCCTCTTCATTAGTTACAGGATAGAGAAACTATACGGGACTTATCCTTGTGTGTAGGAGGAAAAGCAATATATAACGATTATTCATAATATTACTCATTATTTCAGTTCTCTAGAATTCATATTTCGAACAGAACCAAATGATCACAGACAGATAAGTCATGAAACAGTACAAATAATGCAAGAAAGAATCAGTCTGAGGCGGGTTCAATCACTGGAAATTAAGACATAAGAGAGAGGAATTTGAGGCAAGAGGCGCATATGTCTCTCTACTTCTGCCTCTTGTAGATCTTAGCCAAAAAGGACTTGAGCACAGCTTGGATTGCCTTACTTGGGTGAGCCTCGATCAACTTCGTCAGCCTCTCGTAGCTTTTGCTTTCGTATTCCTTAAACACTCCCTGGTCATTCAAGAAGACCAAACCAGAGCGAATGTACGTTAATTTTGTTTCCATTCTGTCAATTTAGATCAAAGCTTTGATGTTCCTCTAGTTTCGTAGTGGCACACATCAGTAAATTCCGCTTCTTTCTATACTGAATTAACGAAATGGTCTCAGTACCAAACCTCGAGATCGAGCTCTTTGTAGAGAGCCTTCACTTTGGCAACGTTTGATGGCTCGGGTTTACCATAGTTCTCCTGGTCCATTGAATAATTCATTCGATCAGACAGCTAGCTGTTTCATGTTCCAAACAGGATAGTCAGTAGCTGATTCTTACATATAATATCTTCTTTTGTTCTTCGTTGCTGCGCTCCAACGCCTTGACCACCAACCACGAGCATTTAAAATCTTCAATATCAGTTCCTATCTGCATTATAGAACGATCCAACATGCCCAGTCAGATAAACTTAGAAAAATACAATCAGATCAAGCCTGGAAAATCATGTCTTCACCTTCCCAAGCGTCTCAGGATCGGCAAAGCAGTCCAAATAATCATCCTGCAGACAAGAACGGTAATCAACTGCCCGATATTGGTCTGAGTCTGTTGTATAACTGTCACTAATGCTAATTGGGAAACTACCTGCACTTGAAAGTAGATTCCCATGTCTATAAGAATGTTCTTTACATCAATATGGTTTTGCAGATCTTCTCCGGCCATAAGCAGTCCACAAGCAACCTGAGTACAAGTAGTGAATGAGAACTGAAGCATTCCGATATTGGATTCAAAATATTTAACTGTACTGATTGAAAGATGACAAGCATTATGACTGTAAAGGCTGGAGAAACAGCATATTGCCAATGTCTATAAAAGTTTTTCAGGAAGCAAATGCAAATATGATGCATTAATAGCATGAATGCCAATGCCTAGGGACCAAGTATGACTCTATAGCAGAGAAAGAGAGAGAGAGAGAGAGAGAGAGAGAGAGAGAGAGTCTCAGAGCCAGTGCTTACAGGAAGATAGAACGAGTAATAAGCTGTCTTGTACTGGACAATACGCCGGTGGCTGTACATAATTGGAAACCATTTCACATGGTCATCCGTTTAAAAGTTGGAACAGATCATCGACCAAATTTTCATGTGTGACTCTTCACTCACATTGACAAAGAATACTTGGACAAGTTCTGTTCTCCGTCAATGGTCGTGATCAAATCTATCATCTGCCCACAAGCTGTCTGAAACTCCACCTACACAAACACACACACGCACGTTGCCAACATACAAAACAAGACGTTGAATAAATTCTCAAGCCAGAACAGATTACCTCGTTAAACAAATCAACCAGGTCAACATAGTAAGGCTTTCCTCGGAAGTGCTTCTTGAGAATCCGAGGAATGTGATTGCGAAGCAGAATTCCATCGTTAATGGCAATCATACTGACCTGTAACAACGTGTGTCAGAGGATGAACACCAGAGAAGAGTATGGGTCAGAAGAAAACCTGAGGCACTCTGAACCAGCAAGGCTGGCCACGTCGGGTGACTGAGTTATCCATAATGTCATCGAGCACAAGGAAATAGGCTTGGAGCTACAAATATCATGAGAAGAAAGACAAAGGACAAGTAAGGGAATCACCATTATTAGCTGAAAGCAGGGAATCTGAAGATGAAACATGATTTTTTTTACCCATTCGATGCACCAACCGAGAGCACAGGAGAGGAGAACATCTTCCTCAGTCAATTCTTTGCCTTCCTTCAAGAGCTTGTAGCTGTCAACAACGGAGAGACCCCGATTCAGCTTCCCTGTAGAACAGATTATGTTCGATGTAATGTCAGATTTATGTTTGATGTAATGTCGGAGAGAGATTCTCCGGAACTCACCTCCGGGTACATTGTAGTCCAGCATCTGCAGAGCGAATCCCGAATCAGCATTATGAGCACATAATCTAAGAATAGCAGCGATCGATTAACAGAAACGACAGCCTACGAATTGATCAATGATATCCATTCCGTACGATCTCCGTTGATGGTCAGATTTAGATATAAAGAACAGGATACAATGGCGGAAAGTTCGAGGAATAAGAAAGCGAATAGAATTCAATCAGAGGGAGGGGATCTGACGAAATACCCGTTCAACCCATTGGCGTGACTCAGCGGTGAATTCAAAGGCGGGGTCCTGAAGGAGCTCCGACTTGAGGCGGGAGTAAACGTCGAGGAAGGTTGACTTCAGATCCGCCATTGATGAGACCTTCGAGAACTCTGCTCGTGGGTATCCAGAAAGGTACGACGATGCTGGCAAACTCACGCTCGAGACAACTCGGTCAGATGTGATGTTTTTATTGCCATTCCCAGCCTGCGACTGAACTCCCAACCAACCCAAAAAAAAAAAAAAAAAAAAAGAACGGAACCACGCAATTCCCAGAATGGGCTTCCTGATCTCCTTTAATTACAGTTTTGCCATCGCCTCGTGTTCAACGCCACGTGGAGCATATGATTAATCAATAAGATTTTTTTTTATGACGTCGAACCGCATGCATATAAATCTCTGTTTTTGTTTTGGTATAATAACCTGCGAAGCGCAAACAATACACGAAATATATAAACCAATCTAAATTGTTTATAAATTATAACTAACAGATTTGATGCTAAGATTTGGATTTGGTCAATAATATTGAAAACAAAGTTAAATACATATCTTCAATAATATTTTTTTTTTTTGAGGAAAAAAAAAAGTGATATGATTACTCATATCTTTTATCAAAGGCAATAAACGTGATTCTTGTTTTCAGTACGTTATTGACTATTGGGTGGTTGTCAACCCTAAAAGAAATATTTATTCCATTGTTATTTCACCAACTGTCCAGTCCAAGCCCGTTGATATATATGAGCCAAGCCCGTTAGTTAATGGGCCAAGCCCATTTATAAATGGGCTAATTATACGACCAACACCAAGACGCCCGTTTTGTCGGCTTATGGGTTCCCGTCCCTAATCAAAGTGTTTTAGAATAATTTTTATTTTTGTTTTAAAACAAGTATGGTTTTAAGGATTTTCAATTTCATATATATATATATATTTTAAAATTTATCCTTTATTAATAATAATAGTTAAATATTCTATATGTTTCTAATAGTGGATCCATCCATTCATCACTAATTCCCTTTTCTTGGTCGTCAATATTTATCTTTTATTCAATACTTTGTTTTATAACATGTTTTAGAAAAAAAAAACATTTTGTTATATTCTAAAAAGGACTGATATTTTTAAAATGAAAATATTTCTAAGTCGGAAAATAAAACTGAGGGGAGAGGAGTGGAATAGAGCGGTATTGGATCGCTCTTCCACTCTTGACTCGAGACTGTGACGCTGACGATAGGGAAGAGAACAGCAACGCAACTGTTCAGAGCTCTTTGTCTTTCGCTCTGCACAAGCCTTCACCTTCGAATAATCAATCCCTTCGCGGCACAACCAAGGTAATCAGCTTCCCCACCTCTTGCTGTTTCTTTTCTAGGGTTTCTTCTGATCGCGATCTTTCTCCTGTTCTGATCCCCTTATTTTTCTTAATCCTTTTCCTAATATCTTGGCATTGATGATGATTTCTGTATTTCGTCGTGGTTACCCCTGTAGTTGAATCGGTCTGCTTCTGCTTGCTTTGTTCTTCCCGACCCTAGTTGGGTGTGTATTTTCGTATCAGAAGACTTGAACTTTGTCTCCTGTGCTGCAGAAATTTTCATTTTTGTGCTGGAAAACGATGCAGGCTTTTTTTTTTTCTCTTTTTGCAATGATCCGTGCTTGAATCGCCATTGTTTCACTCGTACTTCGTTAGTTAAGCCGGTCAAGTATATGGGATCTGCTTTTCTCTTTTCCTCCACGAAATTTCTTTATGCTCTTTGCTGTATCTATTTGCCTCAATTTCTCAAAGAATCTTAAAGTTCATTCTTATTGATCGGTTTAAACGTTCTTGTTAGGGAACTTTTCGTGCCGCAGCAAACCAAAGGGACAATGAGTTCACTCCCCTAAAGATTATTTGTTTTTCCCTAATGGCATCCACAAGACAGCAGCACAAGATTTCCAATTCTCATGGGGCAGATGGAGAAACTCAGAAGCAGCCGTCTTCTAATGGCAATTCTAAGACAGCTAAATCCGAAGTAGTTGAACAAGAGCAGTTGCACAGACCGACAAATAGTCCTCTGATGAACGCTGGTGTAGAATTTCCTGAGAATAAACACTTGCCTGATTCATATAGGAAGCCGTCCACCAACCCGTCTGCCATCAGTAAACCCGATTTGAGCTCACTATCTACTGTGCTTGCGCAAGTAGATCCATTCACTAATGATAATAGAGGTTTGGAAGATGTTTATGTCGACCAAGAAAAGAAAACATCAGGCTATGTAAGCATGAAAACGAGTTCTGCTTCCCCGAAAGTTAGTGATGGTACAAGCAGTCTCGGCAAGACGAGTGGGAGTGCCAAGATAAGCGACCGTCTTGATTATGTTGAGAGTGGAAAGAGTAGTATCTGTAGAGGCAGCACGAGCAGTGACGTGAGCAATGAGAGTAGTTGTAGTAGCTTCAGTAGTAGTGTCAATAAGCCTCACAAGGCCAACGACCTGAATTGGGAAGCAATCCAGGCTGTGAGGGCTCGGGATAGGGTCTTGGGTCTGAGCCATTTCAGGCTACTTAAGAGGTTGGGTTGCGGGGACATTGGGAGCGTCTACCTCTCTGAGCTGAGTGGGACAAAGTGTTACTTTGCCATGAAGGTTATGGACAAGGCGTCGCTTGCGGGTCGCAAGAAACTCCTCCGGGCTCAGACGGAAAGAGAAATTCTGCAGTCGTTGGATCACCCTTTTCTCCCGACGCTCTACACGCACTTTGAGACTGAGAAATTCTCGTGTCTGGTGATGGAGTTTTGTCCTGGGGGAGACTTGCATACTCTCAGGCAACGGCAGCCGGGGAAGCATTTTCCTGAGCAGGCAGTAAAGTGAGTCGGCTTTTCCTTTCATTCATATTTTGCTTTGTTATTCATTTGCCGATCTATGTGAATGAATCAGCTGTATCTGTTTCCTTGATTTCTTTTAGAAGAAACAGAGCAAATGCCAGATAACGAGATCGCTTTAAGAGGGATGACTCTGTTATCCTTTTCACACGTCAAGTTCTGACTTTTACTTGATCTTTACACTTCTTCCATCTCTAATAATACCCAAATATTTACAAGCTCACATCTTTGCAGCGTGAGCAAATGTGTTTTACCGAGACAGCATCATGCTGAGGTCTCTGTTCTCGTGTTTATTGCAGGTTCTACGTGGCAGAGGTCTTGCTAGCTCTAGAGTATCTTCATATGCTGGGAATTATTTATCGTGACCTGAAGCCCGAAAACGTTCTCGTAAGGGATGATGGACATATAATGCTCTCTGACTTTGACCTATCGCTCCGCTGTACCGTCAGCCCGACCCTTATGAAAACTGCTGCTTTCGAGTCTGACCCACTACGTAAGAATACAGCATTCTGTGCCCAGCCTGCTTGTATCGAGCCCTCGTGTATCCAACCGTCATGTGCTGTTCCCACGACTTGCTTTGGCCCGCGTTTATTCTCAAGCAAATCGAAAAGAGACCGTCATAAACCAAAGAATGAAGCAGGGCACCAAGTCAGGCCATTGCCAGAGCTGGTTGCCGAGCCAAATACCGCACGGTCCATGTCATTCGTCGGAACACATGAATACTTGGCTCCAGAGATCATCAAAGGCGAAGGGCATGGAAGTGCGGTTGACTGGTGGACGTATGGGATATTCCTGTACGAGCTTCTCTTTGGCAGAACTCCATTCAAAGGGTCTAGCAACCGGCAAACGCTGTTCAACGTCGTGGGTCAGCCTCTCCGGTTCCCAGAAACGCCTGTCGTGAGTTTTGCAGCCAGAGACCTCATCCGTGGCTTGCTTGTGAAGGAGCCTCAGCACCGGCTGGCGTTCAAGCGTGGAGCAACCGAGATCAAGCAGCATCCTTTCTTCGAGGGCGTGAACTGGGCTCTGATTCGCTGTGCGACTCCACCGGAGATCCCGAAGCCCATTACCAATCTGGAGCCGCCATCACCATCACCACCGAGTGAGAAGACAACCGGCTTAGTTCTCAATGCTCAAAAGGGTTCTGATAATAACTATTTGGAATTCGATTTCTTCTAGCGTTAGATTGGGTATTATTCTGTGCCCACCCCACGTATTCTTGCTTTTGTTTCAACTGAGAGAGACCCTGTTTTTCTTTTTCTTGTATTCCCTTGTGAACTTCTGCTGGAAAAGGTGAAGTGGTTCACCAAGAGTTGTATGGTTGTTGATCACACGGGTTTTTCACCGGTTTTATAACATCGTGCATCACAGTTCTCCTCACATTCTAGGCATTATAGGACGTTAGATGGCCATGGGTAGGTTGTTTTGCTTGTTTTTCCTTGCAGGAAGACTCCACGATGAATCCTCACGAAGCGGGCACGAAAGAACAAGAATTCGAGAATGCTCGGGGAGCTCAGACAAAACGAGCGACCCGCCCATTTAATGAGCGGTCGCCCGTTTTGTGAGCGGTCGCTCGTTTTATGAGCGGTCGCTCACTTTTTCGCGTATCAGAGGAGAATGAGCGACCCGCCTGAAAAATGAGCGACCGGAAGAAAAATGAGCGACCCGCCTGAAAAATGAGCGACCGGAAGAAATCAAAATCGGCCCAAAAAGGAAAAGCCCATGTTTTGAGGAGAAAACCTAATTTGGCACTGGGACAAAAAGGGGAGTTGGAGGAGAGAGAAAAGGAGGCTACACACTTGGGAGAAAAATCACCTTGGAGAGGAAGAAAAGAGGGATTTTGGAGATCAAGGAGGCTAGGAGAAGAAGAGGACCACCATTGAAGACCATCTTGAGCATTTCTTCTCCTTTTCCATGTTTCTTCATTTTGCTTTCTGTTTTGAAACCCTAGTTATGGAGTAGTGACTTTGTTGTGGGTGAGGGATCCCCACTTTTGTATGGATACCTATGCTTAATCTATGATGTCTTTGAGTTTCTTCCATGGGTTTGATGTTTTGTGCTTAATGCTATTGATTTGGTTGAAACCCTAATTGATATGACTGTAGAACACATTGATCATAGGGATATGGGAATGATGTTTGGAACCAAATGTCAAATGAGTGAGTTATTCACATTGGGAGATGGCTTAACTTGCTTAGGGTTCATGATAGGGTACACTAATGCATCTAGAGATCATTTAGATCATTGGGAGATGGGTGAATCGATCCTCTAGGTAGTGAGTTTAAGCTTGGGAGAGACAAACTCTAGAAGAAGTGCTTGAAACCCCCATATGGAGGATAACCCATAGACATTGTAGCATCATTAACCATCCATGCGATTCTTGAGGGATCCCGAACCTACAACGCCTCAAACCATCGTTTTACAAACCGTTAATTTTACTTGCTTTCTTATATTCCGACCCTTACCACAAACCACATTTTTACTTGACCACCTAATCTAGCTTAGAGATAGACTAATACATCCTAGTCCTCGTGTTCGACCCCGGTACTACAACTACCGTATACTTGCGGATAGTGGTACGAATCGGGTATTAAATATAAGACTCGGTGCGTGCGCATCAAGTTTTTGGCGCCGTTGCCGGGGACTAGGCGTTTTCGTGTTAGTCTAGATTTTTGCTAGATCACCATTGCTTGGATATTTGCTTGGATTACTTTGCGACATAACCGTTTCACAGCACTTTCGGTTCGTTTTGTCTCTTTGGTGTGCAGCTCTTCCGGTGCATGACAAGAAGCACAACCGGTAGAGATCAACTCATCTTCGACCCCGAAATAGAAAGGACCCTACGCTTCGCTCGTAGACAGCAAAGACAGTGGGGAATGGCCGAAGAAATGCTGAGAGAAAACAACGCACGAAGAGAACAACCCGAGATGGCCGAAGAGCTGTTGAGAGGGGCCAATGCCCAAAGAAGTCCAGCCCAAGCAGCCCCTAGAACGCTTCGAACGTACACACAACCGAAGCATACTCAGTTACTATCATGCATCAATCGGGGACCACTAGAAGAACTTGAACTCCTACCGCAATGCATCCAAATGCTCAACAACATGAGTTTCCGTGGGAGACCAAACGAGGACCCGAATGCCCACCTTAC